GAAATGTCGGCAGTGAGGGCACAAATATTCTAGTGGTGGTGTAGTGGTTGCTTTTAGAACTGATGAAGTATTACAGTCCAGACACCACTGTAATACCTTTGGGTATTCTTCATGGCAAGTCTGCTGTAAAGTCATCCAATGAGAATTTCTCGAGGCTTCTGCTCCCCTGGTATACGTGGACTTTTTCCAAAGCAGTCCTGCAGCTCTAAGTTGGAGAAGTCAAGTTTTCCAGCCGTCCTTCTGCAGTCTGCCCTGGGAGTCAAACAGAGCAGGCTCTGTCTCGGGCAGCAAAGCCCTGTGGGTTAGAGCCCACTTTGTCCCAAGATGGGGGTAGTCATGGCTCCCTCCAGTTGAAAGAGAGGCCCTGAACTCCCCAAAAGTCTCCCTGACCTTAAAGCTTTCCAACTTGGGAAATTTATGTTGCAACCTTGAGAAAAGTAAAGTAAATGCAGAGCAGGCCAGCTATGTGTTTTCCTGTTGATGAATTCTCCAAATCCAGACTGGAAGGCCGCCAACGACTAAAGTCTCCTCCAAAAGCAAAGTGTTAACCCTGAGTCCGGTGCTTGCATTTGCTACCACTGCTGCACGTCCTTCTCTCCCACCTACAAAGTTCCAAGATTTCTTTTGGCTTTGCTTGCTCTGTATGTAGCTGTCTGATGACTCTGTTTCTCTTTATAGCACAGAACAGACCAGGGCCCAAACCAGAGGAGGAAAAAACCACTACAAGGTATGGGAAACTTTCAAGAGCGCTTGTAAGGAGACTAGCTAGAGCCCTGCTCCTGCCTTTCAGCAAAACTAGCTTGAGTCTTGAAGTGATCAACTATTTTGATCCAATCGTTTCCAGTTCTAAAGTGTTTGTTACATGCTCTATTGCAATCGTGGTTTTCATCTTCAAATCCTAAATCCTTAATCTTTCCCTTCAAAATATAACAAAGTCACACAGTATTTATTCATTATTAGTGTTTCTTGAACATGTGCTATACGGATTATAGGTCAGTCTAGGTAAAAGTGACCATTTTAAATCCCTAACTCCTCTTTATTTTTACTCTTATTGAATGATTTTATCACTTTAAAATTTTAAATATAAATTTTACTCTGATTATAAAATGACTACTTCCTCTTTACAGGAAACGAGAAATGGGTACAAAAATTTTAAAAGATTTGCTTGTAATCTCTTCACTTGCAGTTAAATATTATTAACCTTTGGTATGCTTCTTTTTCCTTTGTTAATTATATTTCATGGATGCAGATTCTTTTTCATTCTATGTTATATTACAAATATTTTCTCAATATTTTATTACCATTCATACTTTTCATAAAATCCTCAAAACAGATTTTTAAAATGACTTTGATGGTATTCCATCGTAAGATTATACCATTGCTGGTAACTAATCTCCCATTGTTAGGCATTATAAATAGTATTCCAGTAAACATGTTTCTATGTAAACCTTTGGCCACGTATCTCATTAAGTCCTTAGGATAGATTCCTAGAAGTGGAATTACTGGGTCAAAGTGTAGGGTAAGTATGAAGGTTTTTAGTATTCTTTGCCAAATTGCGTTTTCCAAATGATGCTTATCAACTTTTGCTCCCACCACTGTGAGGGAGCTGCTGCTCTGTGGAATTCTCCACTTGGAGGATTTTGGGCCAGAACTCAGGCTTAGAAGGGCCGCAGACAGGGAGTCAAGAGACCTGGTCTTGAGTTCATTCTCTTACGCACTTCTGTGACTTTATGGACAACTCTCAGCAGCAAGAACACAACCTAGAACAGTACTAACTTCCCAAGAGGAATAGGAATGTGAGAAAGCTTTGTAAATGTAAGGTGGGTGCGCTTTACTACTGAGAGGTGCCTGCCCATTGTTACAAGTATTGAGGAATATTAGGAGCACAATCTGTATATAAATCATAAACAAAAAAGAAAATTTTATAGAAATATTGATTTGAAGTTTCCTTTCTTTTTCTTTTTCTTTTTCAACTGGGAATCAAATTCAGGACTTTGTGCTTGCCAGGCAGGCAGTCACTTAGGCCACCAAATTATATCTTATGCTGAAGTTTCCTTTTAAAAACTAAGAAGGGTAACTTTTCTATCAGCGTATTTCCTCACATCTCTGAGTTCACTAAAACAAGTTATACAATATCTGTTTATTGGTTTTTATGCAGATGAGCCTGCCTAACTTTCATGTGTGAGATAAAAAAAAGATTTCTTTTTTGGACTACACAGTGTTTAAACTTTTATGGAGGGTGGATTCTGGTGTAATTGACAGTTAGATGAGGGTAGCAAACATCCAGAAATGCGACTCCAAAGGATGGTTTTCACAGCTCAACACAAAGACTATCTTCCAATCACGCCCCTCTGCTCCTGACACTCCAACGTGTAACCATCACTTTCTCCTTCTGTAGTTATGTGTCCTCCAGGGTTTGTCTAAAACCTGCTGGAATCTTTCCCAGACACCCAGAGTGAAAACTGCACCTTCCAAGGCCTCTTAGCTGTGACTCTCACAGGTCTGCTCTGAGTCCCCAGGGCCTTGTGGGGTCCTCGCTTCTTGCTGGGGTGTGGTCCTTTCTTCCCCATCCATGCTGTAAGCACTTTGAGGAGACTCTGCCTTTGCCCTGGAGTCTCTGTGTATACTCTTTGCCACAAACTAAGTCACCCCAGAGCTTGATAAAGAAAGTCTTGCCAAGGGCCTAAAAGCTGTTTTCCCAGTAACTCACTGGGGGAATTTTCTCTCGACTTTGTCCCTCTTGGCAGGAGGGGGATGGAGGGCAAGTTAGTGCCTCCAGCCACATTTCTTCTGGGGACTATTTTTCCCTTATTAATTGTGCTGTCAGGATTAAGAATAGCTCACAAGCCAAAGGCAAAGGCAAATGTAGACAATTTTGTTCTTTCCTCCTTTTTTTTTTCCTCACCCTCCTCCTCGCCTTCCACTCTCTTTGCTAAATATATATCTCTTTTCTGATTAGAGGTCATCGTGGGCTTTTTCTTCTTAAACAAAACTAAGATTTGCATTTAAGTAAAATCTTTGTGATTTCCAAAAAAGTGTTAAAGTTATCAGGGCAACAATGTCATATTCAGATTTTGGAAAGGTGAAACTTCATTGTGTGTTCGTGACAGCCCTAGGTGCATTCTAATTTGCAGAGGCTTAGTTAGGGCGTGTATGATTGTAGGAAATATAAATATACACACTTTAGGCCAAGTTGAAGGAGAGGATAGAGATTAACGAGACTACCCCAGCCTTTCCAATGTCAGAAGAATGAGATCTTTTGTGATTTAGGAAAGGATACACTGGTTTCAAAGATCCTGAGAAGGGGGTCTAAAGCTGAGGAATTGGAACAAGATAAGATTGATTCTTTACTTGTTGTCAGGCAACTGCTAGGGTTCAGAGACCCCTTCTAGTCAGTGAGAGCCATAGGATAAGGTGGGTGATGCCTGATCTCAACTCTAAAGGAATACGAAGATTGTAACATGTAAGGCTATAACTGGGGCATTGGGCCCTGGGCAATGACCCAAAATGACTTTCCTCAGACTTTACAGCACAGTTACAAAAACAGTATTTGGCAAGTGTCCCGAGAAGAGGTTCTGAGAAAGAGCTCAGCGACCCAGCCAAATCGACTCTCCTTCCAGAATTAGGTCAAAGTTGTCAGCAGTAGCTGAGGACTCAAGGCTAAAGTCAGGGTACTGACCAGTCCACTCAACAGCACACCCCCTGTGCGCCTCCTTCAGAAACCATTCCTTAGGATTCATCTGCCAGGTGGCAACATTTTATTAAGAACATAGATGAGAAGGAAAAGTTCAAATCCCACAGAGGGAATCAGTCTGTAATCCAGAACTTTCTGCTTGTCCTTTCTTTCAGTGCTATTTCTGGTTGGCTTCCATCTTCACTTCCTTTTGATTTTAGAACCGTCTCATGGTGAATGGGGGAAAAGTGCTACAAGGCTTTGAAGAGATTCTAGCAGCAAGCTTTCTAAGGTTTACATGGTGGTGCAGCTTTACCGGCTCCCAGACTCCGTCACGCCAACTCCATCCTACCCAACCTCTCATCCTTCAGCTTTCTTGGCCTGCACAGACACAAGATGAGGCTGAGCCCATCGCTGACATTGTTAGTAGCAAACAGAGCATGGAGCTCTAATCTACCAAGATTTAGTTCCAGTGATGAACTAAATGCCATTTATGACTTTAATCCTTTGCAACAGGCCATGTCCAGGGCCTGAAGTACAGGATGTTCCCTCTCTCAGTGGTAAATTTTGCCTTATGAGTGCCACAACTGTTGACCCTGAGGAGGGAAAAGATCATGGTCCCCTTGACAATCAAATATTCTTTTTTACTAGATTTAGAAGAGGTGAACTATGTGAAAGGGCTTTGAAAACTTACGTTTTCAAGTGCTAAGAAAATGCAAGACCATAAAGAGAAATATTTGAAGGGTGAACATATCATTATTCCATGCAAAAAGTGAGTAAAAACTATCATAATTGTCTTAAATTCAAAATCCAAAAGAGAAATCCAAAATCAGTCTGTGGAAGAGGAAAGTGTGCTCTCTAAATGAGCCAGGTGCCTGCCAAAATCTCCAGCCCTAGTGGTTAGGCTGGAGCCGTGGACCACCGCTGGCCACAAGACCATGAGTGGAAGGGCTGATGCACTGTATAGCGCTTGGTCCAGAGTGCTTAGGAAGAGAGATGATCTCACACTCTCCTCCTGCTCCAGTGATCCTAGAAATCACCGAGATGGAAATCACCAGAGTGTTGAGATGTGTCCCTCCACCTGAGATGCAAGACTTAGTATGAGGGGTAAGCCACACAGATTTCAGTTTTGCTTAATACCATAGCACAGGAAAGTCTATCTTTCAAAACACAATGGCTTGCCAGCCTTTGGACACAACTGTAATTCCAGCTACTGAGGAGTTTCGGGCAAGAGGGTCACAAGTTCAAGGCCTGTTTGGGCAATTTAGAAAGATCTCATCTCACAATAAAAAAATTAATAAGAAGAGGTAGGATTATCTTAGTGCACTGGGGATTCAGTTCCCAGTGCTTCTTCAAAAAAAGATACAAAGTATGATCTAAACATATAGTGAATGTTTGAATTTTTAAAAATTTATTACCGCAAAAGACACAATGTGATTAATCCCTCTAAAAATACTCCTCCTTGTTGTTCCCTCTTCCTCATTTTGAACTCATCCATCCCATCACCATGGCCACTTTCTGAAGCAGTTCTGGACGTTTTCTTTCATGAGTGTCTTTACAAGGTGTGATTGAAAACACATGAGTGTTGTGGCAAGTGCCACCCAATGGAAAGGCAGCCTGGTAAAAACATTCTGATGTGTTCTCATCTACCTTATTCACCAGACCTGACACTGTGCAACTTCTGGCTTTTCCTAAAAGTCAAAATGACCATGAAAGGTACATGTTTTAAATCAACTGTGGACACTAAAGCAGCCACAACAACTCAACTAAAGACATGAAAGAGAATTTTCAGAACTGCTTCAGAAAGTGGCCAGAATGATGGGATCAGTGTGCTTAAAACGACAGAAAGCATTCTGAGGGAGCTTAATGACAATATGCCTTTGGTTATATTTGTAATTTAATCATTCACCATATTTTTCAATCACATTACATACATCGACTGTTTTTCTTCATTTTCTTCAGGAACTTAGTGCTTTTCAGAGTGGTTCATTATTAAACAGTGATATTTATTTATTTAATTACTTACTTATTTACTTATTTGCTAACTAGTAGATTTGTCAGTCCATTACCTGGTACTAAAAACACAGTACCACAAACTGGGTAAGTTATAAAGAAAAGAGATTTATTTTGGCCCATGGTTTGGTTCAAGGTCCAGAGGCCACATCTGGTCATGACTTTCCTTGCTGGCTGAGTCCCGAGATGGTACTGGGCATCATGTGCCTGAGAGTCTGGGAGATCTAGAGAAACTGCCTTTATAGCTGACCCTCTCTCAAGATAACCTGATAATCTACTAATCACATGAATGGATGAACCTACTTATAGGTAAGAGCCCTAATCACCTCTTAAATCTCCTCCTCCTCTTACCTTTTAATAGCTCATAATGGGGATTCAATTTCAACATGAGTTTCTTTTCAGAGGGAAGAAACCATATTCAAGCCGTAACAGTAGCTCATGTACAATGGTTGTACCATCAGTGCTCTAGGTACTAAAAAAAATGCCAGTCTCCCATCAGATGACACTTTATGCAGTAAACAAAATTTTTAATCTAATGGTTTGGTAGGTTAAAACAGCTGACTTTGGCATCAAAGGCCTCATTCTGATCCAGTCATTTATTCTAAAACCTAGGTAATTTAATCCCTTTCCCTTGCTTTGGTTTTAAAGTGTAAGGAAGGACTTGCCTCAGAGGGTTTTGGTGAGCAATAAAAAAAACCATGAAGATCTTTTCCGGCTCAAAGTGCTGCATAAATGCTTAATGATTTCCTTTAATGATATCATGGACAAGGACTCTGAACTTTTATGTGAAATATTTTCATTTGAGTTATAACATGTAATACTCTAGGTATCTCGATGGATGGCTGAAATAAAGATCCTTTGTTTTTTCTAGAGCCCAGATAATTTAACTATTGTTCCTTCATTTCCAAAAATTACATCTAAAACATGCAAGACTTATATATCACAGAGGAGGATAATGATGGCCTATAGAAAGAAAAGGGACTTCATGAGATGCCATGAATGATATAGTTGTAAGGCCATCAGCACTGAATTTTTTAAAAGTTACTTTAATTTAGAAAATCATAGCTTTCTATTATACTGAGGTCAGATAAAATCTCAAGGGACAGGCACTTATTTTCTACTGGAGGTGGGGTTTTTTGTTTTTTGTTTTTTGTTCTTTGATACTGGGGGTTGAATCCAGGACCTTGACAATGAGCTACATCCCCAGCCCTTTTTTGATTTTTAAATTTTGAGACAGGCTCTCACTAACTGGCTAAGTTTCTCAGGCCAGCCTTGAATTTGCAGTTTCTCAGGCCAGCCTTGAGCAGCCACTGTGCCTGGATTTTATTTTATGATTATTATTTTTGTGTGGGTGGTGGTGGTGGTAGTGGTACTGAGAATCAAACCCAGGGGCACTGAGCTAAATCCTTAGCTATTTTTTATTTTGACCTGAGTTTTTGCTAAGTTATTAGCTAGACTCAGACTTGTAATCCTCCCGCCTCAGCCTTGCAAGCCCGGGACTACAGGTGTGTGGCACCAGGCTTGGCTAGGAGGCAGGCATTTTGTTCTCTACACCGGAAAGAGAGCATTTGGAGAAATATATCTATCTACTGTGAAGAGATCCATTTTCCTCTGTAATTACTATGGGTAAAAAAGGAAAATGGCAAAGGCAATTGTTTGGAGATGGTGGCCTCCAACTCTTTGCTCTTATAAAAGAATCCTCTTCTTATTTTCTGTGCGTGTCCTACAACAAATGAATTTGAGAAGCCTCCCCTCTAGGTCAGTTTGCAAACCTCTGGACTCACTTCGCACAGATGGACAATCTCTGGGTTGCTCCAGTTCTCAAAGCCTGCAATATGTGGCCTCTTCCCTTCCACTCATCTTCTCATAACAGCTACAGGATTTTTACTTTGTGCCACTTTTTGTGCAATGCAATTAGCATGATCTCTTGTAATCCACATGGCAGTGCAGAGTTGGAATTATTTATTTCCATTCCAGATGAGGAAAAGAGGCTCAGTGAAGTTAGGTCGTTTATCCTCAGTCGCACAGCGGGTTAGAAGCAGCTCCTGGATTCAGATCGAGACTGCCTGCTCCCCGGTCTGGGCTGGGCCCTACAGTGATGGGCCTCTTTCCGTGGTGCAGGAAGGAGACAGGCAGATGGAAGAAGGAAGAGAACAAAGGTTGCTGTCACTTCTTTTTCCTAAAAATGAAGTTTTTAGCAAGAAACAACCCTATAGTTTTCCAGCTACTTCCACACTTTTTAGAAAACAAAGAAAGAAGTTTTCACAGGTCATATAGGTCAGCACAGTGTAGACTGGGATTTCTAATTCCCAGATACAGTCTTTCCATCATGGACCCTCCTGCCCAGTCTTCATTAACAATGACACGCCAGTTGAAAATAGCTGTACACTTGGAGGGGCTAAAACAGGAGGATCCAAGTTCAATCCCAGCCTGGGCAACTTTAGTGATTCAGCAAGACTCTGTCTCAAAATAAAAAATTAAAAAGGATAGAAATGTAGCTCAGTGCGAAGTTATTGCGTTCAATCCCCACCCTAAACCACAAACAAACAAAAAACCCACCCACTTACGTTAGACAATGTACCTCTCAATGATAATCAAAATACGTAAATAATTCAAACTATTCCAGTAACTCTAGTAGCAGTCTATTGGATAGCAAGGTCAACCCTTAAATATGTCCACTGTACATTCAGCCAACATTTTAGAGCGTCTGTCATGTGCAGTGCTAGGATATTCACATGTGGTGCCAAGCTGGACTGACTGGTCCCTGCCAACACTGGGCAAACCTAGTGAATCTAACAAGTGAACAGATTTGATTCTTCTGTCACATACCATGACTAAGAGAGACAATGTTAATTCTTTTAATAGTATCCTTTCCATATTCAAACACTTCTTGTTTCTATAACACCTGGAATACTTAATTATGCTGAAGGAAGGCATTTTATTCATACATCAAATACTCGTTGCACAATGGCTATGAATGAGAAAGTTTCTGGGCAGATGGGATGCACCACTAAACAAAGCAGACAAAGTACCTGCTCTCCTGGAGATTTCATTCTAACTGAGAGAGAGCCAATCAACAAATATAATAAGTAAATTATATATTAGTTTTGAGATCATGTGGGTGAGAGAAAAAATAGCAAAAGGTAAGGGAAATTTGGAGTTCAGAGGGGAAGAGGGGCAGACGTCTTTCACCTAGGGAGAGCAGGACTCTCTGAGAATATTTGCACATACAAGTGAGGCATTTAGCCTGGGGATATCTATGCAGTGAATATTCTAGCAGAGTAGATAGTCCACTCAAGGCCCAAAACAAGGAGAAGCAAGAAGGCCAGTGTCCCTGAAGCAGAGGAATCAAGTGGCAAAATGGAAGTCAGAGGGAGCAGTGCGGGGTGGGGGGAGTGCAGGGGAGAAGGACATGTGTGTATAGGGTGGACAGCCTTTAGTTCACTGTAAAGACTCTGGCTTTGGTCAAAGTGAAATGGAAAGTCCCTATACAGTTGTAGGCAGAGAAGGAATATGATGGGACTTGGGTTTTAGAAGGATCACAGTGGTCACTGCGTAGAAAACATACTTTAGGAGCCTAGAGACCAATTAAGAGACACTGAAATATCGCAGGCCCATGTAGCAGCAGAGGAGATGGGAGAAATGAGGGATTCTGGATAACACAGATTTTCCTGGCAGATTGGATAGGACGTGGGTGGATAATGAGCAAAAGAGTAAAGTCCAAGGCGACACCAAGGCTTTTAGGCTGAAGCAGCTGCAAGCCTGGTGTCTTGGTTACTTTTGTCTCCTTGCTGAGGCAAAATACCTGATGGCCAAAATTAGGGAAGAAAAGGTTTATTTAGCTTACAGTTTTTGGAGGTTTCAGACCATAATCAACAAGCTCCAAGGCAAAGTGGCATGGCACTGGGACAGCACTTCAAGGCAGCAGCCCCAGAGCAAAAGGGGGAAGCAAGCTTCTTCTCCCTTAGATGGTACACAGACCAGCACCCCTCCTCCAGGGCAGGTGTAACACTCACAAACTCTCTGTGTCCTCCTCTTGCATGAGATGAGGATATTTACAAATTAAGGATCCTGGCTCCCTGATGAGTCTCTCAGTTAAACTTCTCAAGTTGCCACAACCACTTGGAGTTGCCATTTCTGGAGGTGAGGAGAAAGCAGGTGCCACTGATGCAATGCATGAAAGCAGGTATGATCTGAGAGGTCTAGGCAGCCATCTAGGTGGAGAGCTGAGCAGTTATTTAGGGATAGAGCCTAAAGTTTTGCAAAAAGGTCTACACTAGATGTGGGGAGCAGCTGAAACTAGAAATCAATCATATGTGTGGGGTTAGAACAAGGCTGCCTGGAGAACAAAGAGCACACAATGCCAGCAATGTGAACAAGGTGCTCCAGTCCAGAGAACACCAAGCCCCAAGGCAAGCCAAGTAATGGGTTGCTAGGCAACGGGGTGTCACATGACATCAACCTGCTGAATGTATAAATAAACACGCTACAGTGGTTGAACAGTTCCTTTCTTCCCATCCGGAGAGAGAATTCCACATTATCCCAGTTTTCTAGATCTTGTCTTTATTTCTTCATCTTCTCATCACCTTCACAGTCCTCACCTTGGGAACTTTGAGAGCCACTTAGCCTGGCAGCCAGAGATGTGAATTTGAAGTTCTGTCTCTCTAGAAGTCACAAGACTGGATGAGACCATTCACGGGCTTTGCTAGCTGGAAAAAGCTGATGAACACGACCCACTTATTCAAAGAATCTTGTTTTCCCAAAACTGTGAAAAGGAGAAAGAATGAATATGAGCAAGAGGATTATTTGATAATTACTTTTTGAGACCACAGAATTTTTTTTTAAATCATGGAAGCAAATTCCATTTTTAATTTTTTTCTCTATTATGGTAATAGCTTGTGGCCAGGAGTCACAGATACCAGATACTCCGAGAAGCTCACAAATATTTGAGCAAACAGCAATCTTGGAATTTTTTTGTATGCATGAACATACACACAGACAGAACCAAAAGATGCTGCAGAGTCCAGAGAACACTCCTTTCTGTACTACCTCTGGTGACTAGGATTTCTATCCACAAGGCTAGCCCAGTGTTCAATAGTCTTGGATTTGAGAGGAAAGGGACACAGGGCTCTTTAGTGAGAGGGGCCCCTAAGTAATCCCCTGTAACCTGGATTGCACTGGCAGATCCTTACATCAGAATGTCTACCCTTTGGGGATCTGCTATCTTTACCATCATCCCACTATTTTAATCTCAAGATGGTGCACATGTTTGGGTTATAGGGTCATCAGGGCCACCAGCCTTTCATGCCTGCATACTTGGGAATGGAAAGCCCTTGAACTCCAGCCACATCCACATGAGAAGTGAGCCTGCCTTAGATGAGGCAGCTGCTGCCTATTTCCAGGAAGACTCTTGCTCAGCAGAAGCACCCCTTCTCCTCTGCCCTCTGCCATTGTAACCAACTGGAAGTTTTTTGCAAGGAATCCAGCAACATTCAGTCAACCCTTCTAGTGAACACATGCTTTTGGGAATTCGCTTGTTCCTGCTGTGGGCTGGCAGCCACAGTATGTATTTGCTTCCTTTCCAGGGTAGCAAGCATCACAGTCTGAAGGATTCCACATTGTAAGCCACGCAGTTAGATCCCTGCAGTCATCAGCTTTGCACCCTTCCCAGATGAGTACTGTCATTTCCACCCTCCCTGTTGCTCCAGTTGCTGGATAGCACAGTGATCAGTCCCTCACTTTCCCTCTCGCTCTTGCTCTCCTTCTCCCTCTCATCACACAAGGCATCACACAGATGTTGTGTGATGGTGAACCAATCTCTTCTTGCTCCCTGACTTCAAATTTCCTTGCAAGTATAGCTGGGAAGCCCATGTGCCTATGTCTCCCCAAGTGAGTCCTAGCTCTGTCTTTCTAAGCAACCTCCAAGGAAAGTCTTCTGCTGCTGGCATCAGAGTGGCTGCTATAATTGCTCATAAAGTCATACATGGGACTTTGTGGAAGGCGCCTTTACTAAGCTCTGTAATTAATTCTTGGAAAACCATAGAAGGGGCTTGTTTAGAGCACTGTTAAATCAAAAGCAGGCTTCCTGTTGGCCAGCTCAGATGGAATCCTGATAGTTAAACCAGAAAATGAACCAGGCTGAAGAAATCTAACAATTGTTCGTTCCTCTAGCAGTAGGATCTAGGTGCCACCACACACACACACACACACACACACACACACACACACCGAATATAAGCAGTGCTTGCAGGTCACACAGTCCTACAGAGACCACTCCTCCTCAGACACACAGAGACCTTGGAACATGAACTTCAGTTATTGGCCAAACACAGGTTTACTTCACAAGATTTTCTTTAACTATTGTGTTGACTTGTTTGTTTATTTGCTCATGGACAGTGAGACTGTTCTGATGAGAACATTTTAGAAAGACATAATTTGCATATACTACATAGTCAGGCTATGTAGCAGCAGGATTTGGTCCTTTTTCACACATTCTTCCAACAGCTCCTTGTCTCTATTGTACAGATTGAAGCCTGCAGTTACAATATCTTCATGTACCCCTGATGGCTTTATGTCAGTGCAGTGGACTAAATCTTTCTTTCTTTACCCCTAAATAAAACTGCTTCCATAAAGGCATGATGCCACAAGTACACTGAAGATTAAATAAATGTGCTTATTGACTCAGTGAAGTTCATTTAGTCATTAGTTTTAGAGTTTTAGAATGGAACTTGCTCTTTTCCTGCAGTAGCAATTCTTAACTGGGGTGATTTTGCCTTCTTTGGAGAGCACATTTGGTGATCTCTGGATGTATTTTTAATTATCACAATTGGGGAAGGAGTGTTTTCTATAGGCATCTAACAGGTAGAAGTCAAAAATGCTTCTAAACATTCTATAATGCACAGGACAATATCCTTACCCCACCCTAACAAAAATTTATCCAACTCAAAATATTAGTAACTGTAAGGTTGAGAAATTCTGATTTATATAGAGCCAAGGTCAATCAATAGATCATCTTTTGTTGATAGATATTTAAGTTATGAAATATCAAATTCATAAGAGAAAATGGTTAAATCCCATAGGATGTGACAATAGGTTGCATACTACAACCAACCAAAGATGTATCCTTTATACTTTAAAATGCTTACTTACTTTAATGCTTACTTTAGATAAAAAGATATGGAAAAACTACAGCATTGTAAAATCAAAACATATGGATTTGAAAAATAAAGATGTTATTTAAAGTGGATATCAAAATAAGATATTCAAGAGATGATTTAAACAGGAGGCTAGATAGCTTTGAATATACACTTATGAATTGGGAGAAAAACCTAAGAAAATCATCCTGAATACAGACAAAAAATATGAAATAAAAATTCAAGTACCTAAAGGACAGATTAAATGGACCTATTAATCATTATTCAAACACAAAAACAACTATTCAGCCATGTGCTATTTATAAATGACCCCCAAAATGATCCAGAAAAGAGGAGGCAGGGATAGAGAAAAACAGTCTAAGCAAATAGTAACCAACAGAAAAATAGCATGACAATATAAATATTAATAAAAATATAACTGAAGATTAAAATCAACAAGAATGAAGAGAGACATTACTAAAAGAAGAAGCCCATCGACAAACATACCTCCTAGCTCAGGGCAGTGGTGCACACATCCAAGTCCAGCTATGGAAGGCTGAGGCAGGAAGATGCCAAGTGTTAGGCCAGTCTTGGGAACTTGAGACCTATCTCAAAATAAAAGAGGAACTGATGTATAACTGAGTGGTAAAGCACCCTTAGTCCAAGCCTCATAACAGGAAAATAAAACTACTAAACATTATCTTTCATATATCCAATACATGTACTTGAAATATATAAAATCAAAAGTTACCAAAAGTTGATTCTGATATACTCCTAAAAACTGAGAGATCAAAGCAATCAAAACTGTGTAAAAAATTATATGATCTGAATAACACCATTGACAGGGTCAATTTAATGCAAATATATACATACAAGTATACACAGAGATATAGGAATATTTGTGAGTATACATACTGAATTGTCTATTTTTACCTCTTAATAATCTACTCTTAATTCCATCTAAAAGACCAAGAAGTGATCACTTAATACAGTATCATTAAGAATTGTTCAAAAGTATGACTTTGATGATAGCATGATATTCCATCATATGAATGGCATATAAATATTAGGCATATTTAGATTTAAGTTTTTGCCTCTAAAATAATGCTATAATAAACATGAAACATTAGTTTTTACTTCATTGTTCACAAACGTACTTTGCTGTACTGATTTCTTCCTGGGTTTCTTAATTAGAAAGTTTCCACTTGAAAACCAGCAGTATGCACCATCTGAAGGAAGAATAGCCATAAAATGTAAAAAAGAAAAGAAAAAAAACCCTACATTTCAGATGTTCTACAAGTATCACATTGCTCAAGAAAAATCAAGACAAGTGATGAAGACTTGTGTAACCACTTCAAAATGAATAAGGACAGAGGTAGAGTATCTGCCGTACAGACACAGTGTTGTCAGACACCAACATTATCATTTGTGGATCTTACACATCAGTATGTAAATAACAGATACTGAGCCATTTCCTCTGCAGATTGCCTCTAAATTGAAGTAAAAACTATGTTACTAAAGCTAAGGAAGCTAGAACAGTGAGGACAATAAATCAAACAGCAATATGCGTTTCATTTAACACTGAGAAAACAAGTGCTTCCAGATAGCCACATATTGTGAAGGATAAACAGTTCTAGAAACGGGAAACAAGTGAGGCAAAGCTAAAAGGAAGAAAATTGGGCGAAATTTATCAGGACTAAAAATATCGGCAATCGCAGGGCAGGGATATTAGTTGGGTAATAAGGTGAGATGCTCGTGAATCTGATCTGCTGCAGGCAGCACAGTGAGCCTGCTGGAGTCCAGGCTTCAAACTGCCTTTGTAGGAGCTTAGTGGTGGACCCAAACCGTCTTGGCAAAGCTCTCCGAGCCTCGTGAATTTCAAAAGGTTCCGAAAAGCCAGGTAATCAGCTGTGACACAAAACAAGAGCTGGATACTCTCCTTGAGCCTCTGTGATAAAGTCTAGATCATGTTAACACAATGGCATAAATTGGGTTTTATGAACCATTTTAGAAATATTCTAAAAATTCTAAATGGGAAGTGTTGTAAAAATCAGGGTGCAAGTTTCCAGTACAGGGCTGCTTACTGAAGTAGATATTTAATGTATCATGGAAAGTCTCACCGAGACTATATTCACTTGTAACTTTAAGGAACATAAGATCAGGTTGGGAATGGAGTGGGGGCGCCATGGATATGCTGATTGGATGTCTATTGCATTCTTTCAAGCAAGGATCAATAGATTCACTCTCCAATATTCTTTCCGAAAAAAGGAATAAATCAATTTATATTTGTCAGTTGCATTCTTTTGCAAAGGTCTGCATGCCAAAATACTGTTTTCTGAGGTTTGTTTTTTTTAAATAAGGATTTGGCTTTGGAATATGGAAATCCCCAAGATAAGAACCTCTCAGCAAAAATTAACGGGGCCTGGAATTATTATCAGCCTCTGAGAGTTCCTCTTCACCATGCCCGTAAAGCCCTCCTGTTAGAGATGGCATCCACCATCACTGACTGAGTCAGGGTTCAGTCTGTCTCTAATGGATCTTTCCTTTTTTCATTTCTTCAGGTTGTATTTCCAAAAGTCTTACTGATTCATGAAATGAACCAATAGAAAATCATCTTGCCTTTTTTGAAAGCAAGTCTAGTCTCCTTGTTCTCAAATTCCAAATTTAGTGTACTTATATATGAAAGTATGCATGAGCAAGATTTACATTTCCAGAGATGGTTTACTTTCAAGCAAGGTGAACCGTCTGACTCCAAATGCTGATCCTGGAGCGAATGTCTGCAGGGGGTTGGAGACTCCTTTCCGTGGGAAGCTGAGGTGATGGGCCCGGGCCTCTTTAGCCCCACAGTGCATCCAGGTTTGTTTTTGTGCCTCTGGCTAGAGGTTGGATACTTTGCCTTGGCAGAGAAATGTATCATCTATTTTAACTCTGGCTTGATGTTTTATTCACATTTTAAATCTTTTATCGCCTATGGCTCCCACGAGATTTTCTCCTTTGTTAGCATTTTTTCTGATTGGTATTGATTCTCTATTTTGCCAAAGGGTTAGGAAAACGCCTGCCCTGTTGGCATGATTGCAGGATCTGACTGCTCTTTTCCTCCCCACAAAAGTATCTATAGCCATTTAATTATGTAGTTTATTTTTAAAGCAAGAATGAAAGAACCAGGGATCATCTTTCACTTCAACTTGGTTTAGCATGTTCTCCAAATTCTCCATGCTCAGTTCCATCCATTACTGAAGTGGGTGTCCTTGTCTAAAAGAAAATGAGTGCATTGACTTTACCCAGTTTAATGTCACAGATTTTATTGTATGTTGTTTTCCTTTGTCAGATAGAAATAGAGTCATAACCTCAAACTCTGTCAAAAAGAAATGAATACTCTCTGCAAGAAAAATAATACTTTCAGACACTTCATTTGCAGAATAAATTCCATGTCTTGCACTACACACACCTGGCATATAATGGTGACCCCAAAACTGCTTTAAATGCCCTGACAGAAGCAGTTCCTACTATTATATCTAGATGATGTGAGGCGTTGTATGTCAATGGAATTTTAGTACAGCAAAAAATGTTATTCACTGGTAAAACCTAAAAAAGGCAGGAATATATCTAACAATTCATGTTGTGAAAGGCTAAAGTATATGTATATATCCAGAGAGAGGGGACCACGTAGAAAGATGTTCTTGATTGGGGAAGAGCTGTTCTTCGTCATCCAGAGTTCCAGGACTCGTGATGTTCTCTGCCCTACACCCATCTCCCGTTTATACACACTCTCATCTGGGGACTTCGTCCTCCAGAAGCCTCTACTTTCTACACTTCTAAAGCTCTACAGTCTTCTCTAAAGACACTGTAACCTTTTCTAAAGCTATAAATGGAAGTGATTGCCTGGAGGAAAGTTAGAGATGGGCAGCTGAGTCCTGCTGTAGTGGAGATTCCCTTTCCACGTGCAGAAAGGAAGTGGTCTGGCTGCTGTTTCACAGTCCAGCTGTACCCTAAGAAGCAGACTCAGATCTCGAGTTCTCTGGGAATAGTATAAGCTTTACACTGTCGCCTATGGCTCCCTAATCCTTCTCGGTTCTTGGAAGCACATGTTCTCATACTTTCCATTCTTCAAATCCACATTAGAGAAATGGAGACTCAATGCCTGCATTGGCCCTGGGACAGGGAGCTGATTCAAATGCCCACTTGACACCCCCCAGAACTGCCTGGGTGGCAGAAAAAGCACTAGGAAACTCCCACTTGGGGCAACTCCAATGACTCTGCCAACTGGAGGAGGCTCTGGGCCTTCCATAAAGGAGGAAGGATGAGTGTCTGATTTTACATTGAAACACAGAAACTCAAACAGAGCTAGGAAAAGAATATCTCCGCCCATATCTACCAGACAGATTTGACTCCAGTTAAGTACTGGAGTACAAGCATTATGGGTGATGTTTTCCTACAGTTGCAAATTTTTTGTAATGCTAGTAACTTAACTTCAGGTAAACATTAATGTTGAGAGCATAGCAACCCTGTTAGCTTTGCCCGCCCCACTGATGAACCTCATAGCCTCACCATTTCCATGGTCACGTATGGAAATTCTCGAGAAGTATCACATTCGCTAAACACCAATCCACCTGCCCTCTCCACAGTGTGGTCTCCTTGTGGGAGCACATGAGCCACTGCTGTGATTTCAAGAGAAAACACGGTAGGCACCATCATTGTTCTTCAGTCCGCCAGACACTGGTCCTGCTGTCCTTGCAGAAAACGAGAGGTGCACATTTCCCTTACTTAAGGCTCAGCTCTCACTATGACCTACAATGAAAACACCCTTTCTCACAATCTGTTAGCACCACTCTGTCTTATAGGACACTGTGAAGCTCTTGGGCTTTGGCAAGGATAAATCACCTAGGGATCTTGCTAGAAATGTACACCTTGGACAGGGAATCTGCTGTTAAAACAAACTTACCAGATCATTCTGAAGCAGGTAGTCTGGATGACACTGAAAACAGATAAGAACACAGGATGGCATACAGAAAACCCACTGAGTGTAACCACACACTGAGTGTTACAAACAGAGGGGCCAGTGAGCATTTGGGGGAGACTCTGATTGTGATAACTAAAAATGTGTAGTGTGTATGGGACCAACAGAGTAGATAAGAAATACAAAGAGTTTAAAAAGCAATCCTGGTAAGGAATTTCAATTTAGGAGTTGCAGAGGAACTAAGTAGTGTGCTAACCCTGCCCATTTCTTTCCACCCAAAGACAGGGGCTCAGGTAAAGAATCCACCAACCACCCGTTTCTACTTACCAAAGTCTTTCTATGCCCTTCTCCAAGCCAGCTAACACAACAAGGCAGAAAAACATTATCTGCTGAAATGATTTATCATCGGAAGGGATAAAATAACAAATTTAATTCAAAGCAGTTCAGACATGGCATTTCTGATATATCTTTTCACTTTGTGATGGAATCTCAGCTATTTGTGCAGCTAACTCTCTAATGCATACCCTCACCCCACCCTCCTCTTTCCATCAATCTTCACCCTATCTTGTCCATTCCATGGCCAGGAGAAGTCATGGAGACTAAGAAATAGGCCCAAAAGGAAGAAAAGAAGAGTGGGTGTGGGAGAGTTTGCATTCTTTCCAATCCCAGAGTAGATTAAATTTACTAAAAAGTCAGTTTTTATCTATGACAGTCGTGGATGAAAATGGAGACACCCAGTTCTCCTCCATGCTTAACTCTTGTGAAGGATGTTGTAATTGACCCACAGCATCCACTCACCCCCAGACAAGTGACCCCAGCCAAACAGCACATGGCACTTTTCTCCACATGGCTGTCCAAACTGTGCCCGAAGCCAGGCCTATTAGACTAGTACTGTTATCTAATACGTAATTCAAGTATCATGCGTAATTTTAAATTTTCTAGTAGCCACATTTTAAAAGTAAACAGAATCAAGTGAAATTAATTTTTAAATTATAGGTATGTAACCCAACATATCTAAGCTGTTGTGATTTAAACACACAATAAATACAAAATTTTAGTCAGGTATTTCATGTCCTTTTTTCCCACTAAGTGCTAGTTTAATATGTTTTTTATACTTACAGTGTGTTTGAAATATCCATATTTCAAGTGCTTGTTAACCATATATGGCCAATGGCTATCATACCTGGCAGTGTATGGCTTTAATTCTGTTTTATAGTAGGCTGGGAAAAATTATGGATCTCGTTCCCTTTTCCCTCCTCCACTTCTTCCTGTCAAGAATATAAATAAGGAATCATGTCACCTCTGTAGCTGCTGGCAGCCATCTTATGACCATGAGGAGACTCACTAACCCATATACCCTTCCCCTCATGTTATAGCCACAGAAGACTATTTACAATCCCTGTTTTGGTAGTTTTGCCTGCTACATTGAGCAGGTAGACTTGAGCCAAACACTCTTCTCCTTTCAGCTACAAATTATCAGAGTCAATAAAACTCTAAGACAACTATTTTCTTAGAGAGTTACTACTGTTTTCCTTTTGGTTCAAATTATATACTTCTTAATGAAACAAAGGTCCATTTTATTTTAACTATTTTAGAATCAAAAAGAGAGTTTCTTTGAGCACTATTTAAAAATAAAATATGTCCATCCTTGGATATAGACACAGTTGCAATAAAATAAAATTATTTGGGTTCAAAATAAAATCAAGTTGTTCAGACTTCGTGGGCATATGTGACAGGAAGAGCTTCTCTGAAGACTGACATGCAGAAGTTGCTTAGAACTCTGAGACTGTGATAAGAGCAGAGGGCAGGTGTGTTCTGAGGAGCCTCACCTGGGGTGGGAGGCGCCAGCTGCTCACTGTTCTTCCTGCAGCATCATCAAGACAAATGCATCAGTATCGTTCTACTTAAAATGCTCAAAGTCCTTACATTTAAACAGACCTCAAACCAACAACCTAACCTTATTCCTTAAAGGACTAGAAAAATAACTAACTTCAAACATAGCAGAAAGAGTAAAATACAAAGATCAGAGCAAAGAAACAAAATATAGAGTAGAAAAATCAATTTTAAAAAACACAATGCTATCCCAAAGTTAGATTTTTTTTTATTTTAAAGAGAATAAAACAAAACAATAAAGTCAAACAAAACAATACAATGAGAATGACCTTGAATTTCAAAAACAAGATATTGGAAAATCAACAATAGTTACTACACAGCATACTGGTGTCCTCTAAAATAGTTGCTTAGACCCCTAGATATAGGCATACTAAATTAATCAAATAATATGAACCCAAAGTTGTTTCTTTGCTTCAATTGCTATCATTTCAGAAATTTCAGGGAGTAACTTCCAATTTATTTTGTGTCTATGTCTCTGCGTCTTTTGAACCTGTTTTGGGTGGGCTCACAGCAGGGTGGGGGTGCACAGGGCATGGCCTTTTCTCCAGGCCTGCAGGGGCTGGCTCTCCATGGGGCATGGCTTCGCGGACTAGTTTCTTAATTTTGTTGAATTCCTGGATTATCTCACTTAAGATCCTACCAGGGTCCAGGGAACCCAACTCCTTCCTTTTTCTCTTCCTCATGTTGCTGTATTCCAGTGTTTGGACACCAAATCTTGAAGTGGCTCTTTGCTGCCCACCACTCTGCCATCTTCCCAGAAGTCCCTCCCAAAGTTAGATTTTTAAATATAGCGGTAAAATTAGCTAGATTAACACGAGGAGAGAGACAGAGACAGAGACAGAGACAGAGAGACAGAGACAGAGAGAGAGAGACAGAGAGACAGAGAGACAGAGAGAGAAACTTCAATCAAAATAAGAAATGAAGAAGGAGATGTTATAGCTTAGTTTACAGAAATAAAAAGGATTATAAGAGGAAGGTACTATGAACAATTGTGCAGCAACAAAATCTAGGCAAAATGCATACATTCCTAGAAATATACAACCCATCCACACTGAATCACAAAGAAACAAAAATCTCTCAAGAAACCTACAACTGGTAAGGAGACTGGATAAAAAAATAAAAAACTTTCCAACAAAGAAAAACTCAGGACCAGATGGTTTCTCTGGTGAATTCTACCAAATATTAAAAAAAAAATTAACACATATTCTCTTAAACTGCCCCCAAAAAATTCAATAGAAGAATGTACTTCCAAGTTCATTCTGTGAGGCCAAAGCCAAATGAGGGCACTACAAAAACAAAACAAAACAAAATTATGACCAATCCCTTTGATGATTATTGGCATAAAACATTTCTTTTCTTTTTTTTTTTTTTTTTTTTTTTTTTTTTTTTTGTCTTTTTTCCTTTTTATCGGTACCGGGGATTGAACTCACGACTGCCTGCTTACAAGGCAGGCGCTTATGCCGCTGAGCTAAATCCCCAGCCCCTTGTAAAACATTTCTTGACAAAATGCTAGAAAACAGAACTCAACAGCACATTAAAAGGATTACACTAACAAGACAAAATACAATTTACGTTTTTAATGGTTGATATATGAAAATCAATCAATGTAAACATTACATAAACAGAATTAAGTAAAATAAAGTTATATGATTATCTTAATTGACATGATAAAACATTTAACAAAACTCAATATAATTTTTCAAGATTGAAAAAAACTAATACAGTATGAATAAAATGAAACTATCTCAACATAATAAAGATTTTATATGGAAAACTCAGCCAAAATCATATCCAGTGGTGAAAGACTACAGTTTTCTAAAATGTCCTCCCTTGTCATTTCTATTCCACATATTACTAGAAACCTTAACCAGACAAAATCAAAAAGAAAAATAACTAAAGGGCATCTAAGTGTAAAGGAAGAAGCAAAGTTATTTCAGTTCATAGATAATATAATCCAATATAAAAGAAACTCTACAAATTCTTCTTTTAAAAAATCTATTAAAACCAATGATCAAATTCAGCATAACTTCAGGATACAATATCAAAACACAAAAATCAGCTGTATTTTTCTATAGCACATAAAGCAATCTGAAAATGAAAATTATTCATTTACAATAGCATCATAATGAAATACTTAGGACAAACTACTTAGCCAAGGAGAAAATGACTTGTACACTGAAAACTATAAAGCATTGCTGAAAGAAATTGACACCATTAAATAGGAAGACATTCCATATTCATATTTTGGAAAACTTACTATTGTTAAGATTTCTATACCCTCCCAAACAATCTATATATTCAGTGCAATCCCCATAAAAATTCCAATAACTTTCTTTTAGAAACAGAAAAATCCACCCAAAAATTCATATGGAATATCAAGGTACCATAAAGAACCAAAACACTCTTGAAAAATAACAAAACTGTAGGTCTTAAGTTTCCTGATTTCAAAACTTCCTTCAAAGCTACAGCAAGCTACAATGGTACTGGTATAAAGACAGACATACAGACTAATGAGATAGAATGGAAAGCCCAGAAATAAGTCTTTATATATATGTTCAAACAGTTTCCAACAAGAATGTCAAGACCACTCAATGGGGAAAAAACTTGCTGAAAAATAAATGACATTGAGAAAATGCAAAAGAATGAAGCTGGACACTGACTTTATACCACATACAAAAATTAATTCAAAATAGACCAAAGATCTAAGCTTCAGAGTAAACTAGAAAACATTTAGAAGAGGACATAAGGAGAAATCATCACGATGTTGGACTTGGCAATTGTTTCTTGGCTATGAGACCAAAAACACAAGGAAAGGAAGAAAATGTAAATGAATTGGACTGTATCAAATTTAAAATGTTTTGTTTATCAAAGCACCCAATCAACATAGTAAAAAGGCGGCACAAGAAATGGGAAAAATATTTGCAAAATGTATATCTAATAAAGTTAGTATCCCAGATATATGAAGAACATCTAAAATACAGTAACAAAAACCTAACTTAAAACTGGACAAAGGACTTGAATAGATATTCCAAAGAATACAGGCAAATGACCAATAAATAAATGAAAGTAATATTACTAATTTCTAGGATCTCAATGTTTGTGTCCCCCAAAACTTTTCTGTTGGAACTCTAGTCCTCAAGATGATGGTATGAGAATGTGGGGTTTCGTGGGGGGTGACTAGGTCATAAAAAACAATCCTGCTCAGTAACTGTATATATGTATTAGTGCTGTAATAATAATAATAGACCCAAGACAGCCCTTCCATCCCCTTCATTGTAACACGAGAATGTGCCATATATGAGAAAGAGGGCCCTACCAAGCACCACGTATTCAGATAGCTTGATGCTGGACTTCCCGGTCTACAAAAATAAACTGCTGATAGTTATAAGCTACTTGTTATAGCTTGTGTCTAGATAACCCCCAAAACCTCATGCAGTCAGAAGTGGCTGGATTTAGAGTGTATGTGTAGTGCTGGATTTGATAAATGGTGCAATGCTGGGCTCAAGGGCACTAGGATTAAGAGTGTGAGTCCAACCTGCCCTAAGTATCCTGGATAAGATATGATGGATAGAAAGTTGTCACTGTCCCTTGTTGCTTTGCTGTCTTTGGCCCACCATGAACTGTCTCTCCTCTGCAATGCCTGTCCACCATATCACCCTGCCTTGGAGTTAGCCAATCATGAATTGAATCCTCTACAAGCTGAAAGCTAAATAAACCTCTCCTCCTTTAACTTGGGTATCAAGTATTTTATTTCAGCAACAAAAAAGTAATTAATATATTACCTAGTGAATAGTATTTTGATGCAGTAGCCCAAATGTACTAAGACACTAATCACTAAGAAAATGCAAATCAAAGCCACAATAAGATACTACCTCACACCCATTTAAGATGGTTACTATCCAAAAAAATCAGAAAATAACAATAGCAATAACAAGTATTGACAAGGATATGAGAAATAACTCCTGTGCTCTGTTACTGGGAATGTAAAATTGTGCAACAAATAGTGAAAAACATTATGAATGTTCCTCAAAAAATTAAAATATAACTCCCAATGCCATTTCTGAGTACATACTCAAAAAAATTAAAAGCAAATGTTGAAGAGGTGTATATATATATATATATATATATATATATATATATATATCCATGTTTGTAGGAGTGTTATTCAAAATAGAAAACAGTAGAAGCATCCCATGTCTATCAACAAATGAATGGATATGCAAAATGTAGTATATACATATAAAATATGGCATGTGAATTATGAAAGATTATTCAGTCTTTGAAAGAAAGGAAATTCTGATTTGCTATGACTTGGATGAACCTTGATAACACTATGTTAAGTGAAATAAGCCTG